CAAAAAAGAAAAAAGTTAATTGAAAGAGGATTTTAATTGAATTCCGATGTTGGCATGCGATCGGCAGATAAGCTGAATCTGTAACTAAGTGACTGATCCCTTGCTTGCTCGAACTCCTTTGAGGGACCATCCATGTGATATTATAGGGGAGGGGCTTGGCTGGTTGGGGGGAGGGAGAGATTTCTGTTTGAGGCTGAATATTTTTCATCCAGCGCTTCAGGACTTACAAATATTTCTTCTGAAAGGAGACAAATAATATGTTTACTCGAAACACATTCTATGTTTTAAAACATCCAGCATGTCCAATGAACGTTTTGTTTTTTGGGTTGAAATATTGGGTCGAATAATTATTCTTACCAGGGGGTTTCTTTAACAAAACAAACCCTATCATACCCCCACTCCCTCCCCTGCGTCGACCTCGTAACTTTATAGTTCGCAGAAGCTGGGTTTTTTAAAACTGTAACATGATATGACTGATTTTCAGTGATTCTTTCGTGTACTTTTCACTTCTGTTTTTGCCTGCTACGCCGAATTGAATCTCTTTCGGCGGATAAGCGAGACTGGTGAATCTCTGGCGTTGATGTTGAACATTTACTATATGTCACATGACATTGTGTGCATTCTATTGATGGCTACGATTTGACATTTGAGGGATCGGGACATAGCATAGAGATGTGGCGTAAGCGTTACAACTCTGTACAAAACTGACATTCCAGGTTATTGTTCCAAACCAAGGGAGGCACGAACTTTAACGTCATTAGTTCTTGTTATACATGTTACAGATACGTGTCGTGTGCCTATGCAAATGTAAACACTTCAGAACGAAAAATGGTTTCGTAATTGCACGAGTGCATAATTACATGTATTAAAAATGTTTCTCTTATTTCGCTTCTGAGATTATTATGTTGCAAGACACATTACCATTGGAATAATATACAAGTATATCTTATCTTAAGAAAACATTTTCCAGTTAATGTCACGAATAATACATACTACCAGGCATCTTGTAAAGAGTAGGTGAGTGAGTTGGGTTTAACGCCGGTTTTAACAGTATTGGAGTTATATCGCGGCGTGTCAGCTTAATGTGGGAGGAAAACCCGAAGTGATGCAGGTCTCAGACGTTAACTACTTCGGTGAAACCCACGAGCATGGGTATGGTGCTGACAAACCTAGAAACATAATCGGGGCGGACCGGAATTCAAACCCACAATCATAGGTTTCTGGCATGCCAAAGGGACGCAACTCTGCACAGCGAATCGCGACGCCTTAGACGACTGGGCCACCCGTGCCCCTCCTCTTGTAAGGAAATGGTTACACGTAATGGAAATTAACAGCAAAGGATAAGATGACTTTTACTCTCAGATGTGAAATCTGAGCTATTCTAATCTCAATGATTTCCTGCAATATCTCATTTGAAACCTAAATATAGATCTATGCGTAAGGTAATTAGTGTTTCTATGAGCATACGATGAATTTAAGGACACGCAAAATATACAGAGAGGAATATTATACCAGAATTAGAGTTGCTACATTTATATTCTGAAGGAAATGTCACCGTGGAGTCTTTGCAAGTAATAGTGACACATGTCAACCATCTATCACTACTTGAGTGTCTCGAGTCCAAACTCAGTGCATGAGAAGCTAACAAACGCTGGTTGTCCGTCATTTTTCAGATAACTGTCATAGATATTTTTTCATTGTCATACGTCTGATCCTCGTCATCGTCAATGAGTTCCGGTGCTGTCATATTTTGGTCACAAGTTAATTACATGTTCTTCGGGATCTCACGAGCCTTCACGGGCTGAAAGGTAAGGACAAGAACACTATACCTTCTCCAAATGGTCACGGGTACTGAGTTGTGCTGACACAGAGGGAGAAATTAAAGTTTTTTCTTTAACGCCGCACTCGGCAATATTCCAGGTAAGTGATGGCGGTCTGTAAATAATCGAGTCTGGACCAGACAATGCAGTGAGTGTGAGCATCACTTCATACAAGTGGATACGATGACATGGATGACCCAAGTCAGCGAGCCTGCCTCTAACGACAAGCATAGTCGCCTCTAACGACAAGCACGGGTTGCTGAAGATCATTTCTACCCCGGATCTTCACGCGTGGAAGGTAGTCAAGCACGTATCACTATAACCAGAGCCCAGTTAAACACATGTCATTAGAAAACCGTGCTTCTGTATTTCAAGGCCGCCTCCGTGGTCTAGTGGTAGGGCGTCCGCCCAGAGAGCAGAAAGTCCGGGTTCGATACCCGGCCGCGTCATACCAAAAGATGGTACTTGTTGTTACCCTGTCTGGCGCTCGGCATTAAGGTGCTAAAGCAAGGACTGGTCGGCTCTTAGTCAGTATACTGTGTCTGAGTGGGGTATTCACTGTGCTAGCACTATAAATCGGCATCAGTCCGGACTAGTATAAGCAGCCACACACGCGCATGCACGTCGCTATGTAGGTGCAATAATCTTGGACGCGACGTTGAACCCCATTTCACCTCACCCCACCTTCTGTAATTCAAGTCACTTGCTAAAAAGGTTTCGACTGAAAATTAATACAGAATATCTATAAACAAATGGCTATTTCATATTAAGCTATATAGTCGACTGAAAATTGATACAGAATATCGATTAACAAATAGCTTTATTATATGAAGCTATAAAGTAAGCGGCATGTAATCTTTTTCAAGGTGTATATACAGGTACATGCGACTTTCCTTTCACTTTACTTCCCACTCCTACCTGAAATAAAACCCTGAAAGTAAACCACTTCTATGTTCCAGAAAATACTGGTCTTATAATTTGCCTTAGGTTTTACAACTGAAAAGTTACAAATATAAACTGGATGTCCTTTAATAGTGGTAAAACATTTTTGCTTTCGAGAAACAAAATGTATGTTGTTAGACAGTGTTTCCTACAAAGACATTATTTGTCTGGTCCATAATCCGGCCGTGTATACGTACACACCTTGTAACTATCCGGAAGTTCGAAACAAGATCCTGTTCCACAAAACATCTGAGACAATCGTAAATGTATGTATGCGAGTTGCTCAGCTCTACGATCGCTATGAACTCCCAGGGTCCTATTCCACAGAGCGATCATAGCGCTACCACTATCGCCGTTCTTAAGTGAGTGAGTGAGTGAGTTATAATTTAACGTCGCATCGGCATTATTTCAGCCATATAGGGACGAGACCAAGTTAATATATTCACAATTGAGTCATTCATGCAACGTTATATTTAAAAACAATTTATGGAACATATTTGAGCATACTATATTTAAAAACAATTTATGAAACATATTTGAGCAGAACAATATCATGTATACAGTTTTAAAACATGGGCTACAGGTCACCAGTAACCAAAGCTAGGCCACCTCGCTGGGGATCATGGGGACTTACAGTACTTCGGCTTCCTGCACGATACCCGAGCAGGATTTACGTCATCACTTCAGCTGCTGGTGGTTGCGCACAATACTAGCCAATATTAAAAAATACTCAGCAGTGAGTTGGCTTAAAAACACTGGTTGATGATGGTTGCATCGACTATAATAGCATTACGTGTCACACAGGGGGACAATAAATATACAATACTTTCACCCCTGGACAGAGCCTTCAATAATGTCAGTTGATAATCGCATCACACCAAATTTTAAAAACAATCATTTAATTATTCACATGATATTTAAAATTTATTATACAGATCCCATTTCTTTCAAGTAGCTGATAATGAGATACCCGCTGACACGGGCTCCGTTCTAAGAATATACTTCATGTATTCCTCAAATAGACATACTGAAAAAAACGACTAACAGGAACTAGATTACGTGATCTACGTGGTTGAATGAGTAAGGTTTTACGCCGCTTTGACAGTATTCCAGCAATACCACGGTGGGAGACACTAAAGATTAGCACCCATGTGGGGAATCGAATCCATGTATTTGGCATGACGGGCAAACGCTTTAACCACCAGGCTACCCGTCGCCCCTAAGGAATATGACTGTCGTATTATAAGTCCAATACAACAATACAATAGGACAAGCTGTTATCTTTACGTTACATCAAGAGTAGTGTATCTAACCACCCAGTGATCGTCAATTTCCAATACACCTGATAAGGTGAGCTACATCTGAAATCAATCGCAGATACTGCGTGAGTCAGTGTTCCAGCAGTATGAATACATTAGGGGTTTTTTCAAGGCAGGTAAAACTTGCAACAAAAGAGGAAAAGACAAATCTATCAACAATATACGACTTTGATAAGGAAACCAGGTGGTCACGATAAACAGCTATCAAACGCACCCACGCAATCTAATATGAAGCATTAATATGACAAAAACACCCCCGTGGATTTTTTAAAATATCTATATGCATGTTTCTCATTATCATGAGCACACCTGTGCTTCGAACAAAACGGGCGTTTATAAAGTGCGGAACCAGCAATTTTGAAAGCGAGGGGTTCAAAATATTATGATCCTCTCTCTGGACCCCTCCCCGCCTGATCTCTCTATGCATAATTTCAAGTATGTAATGGAAACTGCTACTTCAACGCCTTGTTCTAACGCTACACGTGCGTTTCGTGACTATATGTATGTAGCGGCCTATAGCTACTTAGCCAGGTGGGAGCGGTAATTAATCATAAGCTTACTTGGCTAGATATTTCACGTGATATATATTGATACACCGCATAGAGGCTCACTCCACTGATACCAAATCCGCACAAACACGTTTCAATACATGCCACCCTTTGCTTTCGTTTTTAAATGATTAAAACCAGTTGGAAGAAAACGTAAAATGACACATGAGATCATTTCATTAACGTTGATTTGAAATCAATTGATGTGAATAAATCTAAAAAGATCCACCAGTCTAGAAGTGACCAGTGATCAAACTGGCATTGACGTTCATCAATACCACAGCGACAACTGATTTCCGTACGAATGGCCATTTTACAGTTTGTCGTCAAGAAACCATTAACACACAAAGGTAGTAATTAACTGTTCTTACCTGAGCAGCAGACGGCTAAAATCTTCCACCAAACCGACCAGTAGTCCATGATGTATGGATGCGCAGTGCACACAAGGACATCATCAATTACATCACGCAGTGAACAGACGGCTGAGCAGACGACAAGGAATATTGGAAAATGTCCAGATTTCAATCACAGGTAAAACAAACAACCAGAGTAAAATAAGGGATATTAATCCTATTAGGGAAAGATCAAGGATCCAAAATATATTCACTGAAAAATACTTCCAGGCGTCTTCTGAGAATTAGTTTCACTGATTATTTCCGAAACGAGGACTGCGATTTTCTATCGCGTCTAGTATATATCAGACAGTGTGATATTTAGAATTGATAATGGTCAACACACGTGTATTATCCGAGGATGCAAATATTTTCCTCAAACAATTATTTGTCCGACACATTCTCTACTTTTGATGATCCGCATTGTCTCCGTGTTCTTTAGAATCCTCACTATGTAGGTAATGTTGAGGTCGCCGACAGCAGTCCAGAATACTTCACTGGAACAATCTGGACACACCAGATCTCGTCTTGATTGTGTTTCGGGGTTTATCAAACTTCACAAACATTTGCCAGTCCTATAAGTAGGCTGTATTTCCCACTTTAGAAACAAATCAGATTGTCAAATAGTTTCCTATGTGTCGAGTGTGTAGACACGGTGCATCACAACACTGTAGAAGAGGGAATCAATAGCCCGTCAAACCAAGAGGCATTCTCCAATGATCCGATCGTCAAAAGCCATCACAGGCAAATCAAAAGTAACGCTCGTCGAAACTTCACGACTCCTGAAACGCACAAACTCTGTCTGAGGGTACTTTCCTCGCGACTGTTGATACACAACTCCCCTCAAACGGCGATCTCGGATGAACAAGTCCAAACCCATTGAGAAGTTACTTTTAACGAACCGTAGCGAAGCATCCTTTATTGAGCCAGCTTCATATACAAGCCTAGAGATTATCAGCCTCGCCCTGTTGACGTTGTGTTTCAATCAGCCTCTGGCGCAGGGATCATGTTAGGGTCGAGATCTCTCCTTCTGCATTACTTCAATCGCATCTGCCTGATCCCTTTGACCATATGGTGGAGCAGTTGTTAGTCACGCAGTACCGCGTAGGAATACAATGGTACATCGCCGCACACTTTACCTCTTCCACGCCCTCCTGCAAACATAGTTGTGTCAATAAATGAACTAACAGGCGTGTTTCACTAACACGTATACATACGTTGCGAGCTGTGTCGATCGACGTATTGGTTATTCGTCCCAATTTAGGTCGAATATTAAAATGGTTATGGTATTTGTGTTAAGGCATAGGTTATTTGTGTCTCTTTCATTTCATCATTGTTTTTTAACTGCAACGTTCACCTGGGAGGGTTTGGTGAAAGGTTTATAAGTGAAAAAACATGCTTTTACGTGAGCTGAGCTTGGGTAGTTGTTATTTTAACCATGTCATTTGACAACTTGACAGGTGCGTTATTAAATCACGGGATAATCAAGTGAACATAATCAATATACACGATATGCAAGTTCCGCGTGTGAATCATTTTGCTCGCTGTACTTCAAAATAAAACACGTTTCCAAATGTGGAGATTTATTGATTTAAACATTAACGCGTTGGTTTGTTTGAACAACACACATTGGCATTATTGAATAATAATTATTCATTTTGACTGCAGATGTGAATACGCATTGGAAACTGGTGTGTCTTTTTTAATGTCATCGTGTTGGACTATACAGAACAGTATTTCCAAACAGGATGTTATGGTTTTGGTATGCATATGTTTATGTATGTAAGGTATTTATGTAGATATCTTTATGTGGCACTGCACAGCACGATCTGAATTTAATGTGTCCTGTATGTGCCGGCAAATAGTAGTGGATTAAATGTGAGACACCCTGTTCGGGATGAAAGTATGTGGGGCCAGACTTAATGTTACGAGTATCATGCCCAAACAGTCAGGTCTGAAGGTTGAAATAGTTTAAAAAACAAATTAAAATACACATTTATACTCTCGCGTTTCGTCGTAATTCGTTGCTTTTCACATACATTTTCAACAGGTTTTAATTATAGTATTTTATATAATTTGTTTATTTTGATATCAACATTTCTTTCCTTTGACATATTTCTGGTCGACGGAACAAAAAAGCCCAATATTTTTCATTTTATATTTTTTCATGTTTCAATTATTTTGAGTCGGCGGAACGTAAACCAAGTTTTAAAAAAGAGATTCACCACTTGTTGATGTTCCCCTCCAGAACAATATGATTGTTGTTTGCTTCATAAAATATGTTTTATATCCCCAAATAACTAATGCGTTATGGATCAATTGTGGAATGCAAAAGGTCAAGGCCATAGAATGACCACTTAAAAATGTAATGGATAAAATATTCAATAATTCCCCGAGAACTCCTAATATCATATTGTTAAGTTTCTATGGCCAAGTCATCAAAGGAACTGAAATTCGCTGTGCAGCGTTGCGTTCCTAAGACGTACCGGAACCTATGCTAGTGGGTTTGAATCCCGGCTCGCCTTGATTATGTTTCTAGGTTTGTCTGCTGAATACCCGTGCTTGTGGGTTTCACCCAAGTGGTAAACATCTGAGACCTGCATCATTTCAGGCTTTTCTCCTGCATTAAGCTGACATATATAGAGTGTTAAAAGCGGCGTCAAACTCCCTCACTCATTCACTGTTGAGTTTTTTAAACGTTTGATTTAATGCTGCGTGGAACAGTATATTAATTATATAATGATGTGTGACCTTTATGGGGGAGTGAGTGAGTATGGTTTTACGCCGCTTTTAGTAATATTCCAGCAATATCACGGCGGGGGGACACCGCAAATGGGCTTCACACATTGTACCTATGTCGGGAATCGAACCCGGGTCTTCGGCGTGACGAGCGAACGCTTTAACCACTAGGCTACCCGACCGCCCCCATATGGGAGAAGTGGGGAAGGGAGAGTGGAGGTGTGTGTGTGTGTGGGGGGGGGGGGGGGGGTTGGGGGGTGGGAAGGGGTTTGTTCAACGTGACGCTTTGAGTGGCTTACCATGTGCGGGCGTGACAACCACGAGTAGCAGTATGGTGGTGACAGTGTGTTGGGTGTAGCGCCCCTTTAACCGCCGGGCAAAAGAAAAAATATTTATACCCATGTTTGATGGGGGGTTAAACATGTAACCACAGCTATGACACCCGAATGTCTTGTACATTTGTTACGTGTTTGTTTTGTTTGTTTGTTTGTTTGTTTGGCGTTCAACAACAAACAAACAAAATAAACACGTAACAAATTTACAAGACATGGTTAGTCGATGGTGATGTATTTGATACGGGTATCATAGCTGTGTTTTAGAAGTTCAGTGTACAGCCTAGTAATGTTTTGATACCGTTTGTAATTTAAGTTTGTAATAGTTTGTCGAATCCCATTTTCAAGTGTACATTTCAGTTTATCAAGGCGTGTCAACCTTTTGCGGGGTAAGTGATGTTCAGTAAGTTGATGCTGACATACTAACCGGATGAAGTTTTGAATTCGAACCAACGATCAGCGTTTTCTTGCTGTACATTAAATTTATATCATATCAAACTTTATCCATTCTGGTCGGGGAATTGTTTCACATTGAAGCGATATACATGTTACTGAAACATCATTTAGTACGACGACGTTTGGAATAAAGAGGTGCGAATTCACATTGATGTTTAGAAAATACCGTGGCCTGAACAATTTACAAATGTCTTTATTGTGTCGTCCCGTTAACACGGACGTCGACGCCGACGCCGCATTACCAAAGAAGGAAGATGAATAACGGCCTCTTGGCCCAATTAAAGTAAACTTTGAAACACAGGTATGAACATGGCTGACAATAAGCTCTTTCTTCATTCATACACTTGTCAGTCTTCTGACATGATCAAGTACCAAAATTGATACATCTAGCAATAACGATTGTTCAAACTATGAGCATGTCAGTCACCTAAGATGTGTTTTTTTATCATATTTTTGAATCGGCTTTAACTGTATCCTCTATGATAATCAAATTGAGTCAAAGACTTGCTCAAGTACAAATATGAACAAAATTCTTCTTGTACAATCAGCCTTAAAAGCCTTTCGACACATTTAACTCTCAGCAGGAGTATTGCTGGGTACGGAGTTAGGCATCAAACGGGCACTTAGTTTTTTAATGAGAAGTGAGTGGCGAGTGCTACTGGTACGCCAGGACACGCTACCCTTTTCGCGTACACCTGGTGTCATCACTGATTTTAAGTGATCCATTCATTTAAGTTTCGCTACTATCTTTTCTTGTACGCCCAGTGGAATCTGTTTCGGCAGATGATGGAGACAGGTTATTCTAGCGTAGACGTAGTGAGTTTACCTCGACATTTGCTGTTAAATGTTTATAAAATGCGTGTGTTGGAGAGGACAAATGACGTATTCGTACGTGTAAGAGCGCATTTGATAATTTTCATAACCATTTTTAAAGGTGTTAGGTGAAATGGGGTTTAACGTCGCGTCTGAGATCATTGCATTTAGGGACGTGCATGCACGTGTGTGTGTGTGTGTCTGCTTGTACTAGCCCGGACTGATACCGATTTACAGTGCTCGCTCACTGAGTTACCATGCCGCAGTTTAACATGAATACCCCACTCAGACACAGCAGTATTAGCTTTGAGCCCCTTAATGCTTAGCGCCAGACAGGGTAACAAGAGGGTACCATCTTTTATGACGCGTCCGGGGATCGAACTCCGGACCTTCCACTCCCCGGGCGGACGCTCTACCACTATACCGCGTAGGCGGTTTGTCCTTTAGGCATTAACGAAGCAAAGCTACGTGGCACTGTCCCTTTAATTGTGTACAGACAGTCACTAAATCCTAACCAACAATCGTGGTGTATTTCGCTATCATCACGCACTCTCCAGTTATGTTTTGAACCAGGAGGTTACTGTACAATAAACTATAGACACAAACTATTGACAGTGGTCGAGAATTACGCAATATGTGTGTGATATATGCGCTGATCATGTGAAGCCGATCGATCATGTGTGTGTGTGTGTGTGTGTGTGTGTGTGTGTGTGTGTGTGTGTGTGTGTGTGAATACATGATAACCATAATTTGTGTTTTGGATAGCGGTTTGGTATTTGTTGTTGATATTTTTACAGATTATCTATTCCCACGCAGCCAGACTTTTAATGGTAGGTATTTGATAGAAGCTTGGGTTCTGTACATCAATGGATGAACCGTTTCAGATAACACAAGTTGTGCCTTTTTTCCAGTTTATACGAACAAAACGTCTTCTAATTTTAGGCATTCTCTTCTAAATACATACGCAGGTGTATTCCTCCAAATCGCGGTATTTATTTGGATGCTGTTACATATTTAGAAAAGATAGAATATCATTTATCTATTCTGTATGTGTTGGGCTTGGGGTATGATGTCATGCGAATTGATATTACGTAAGCTGATCTAAATGATGTATATGTTTGTTTGTTTGTTGTTTAACGTCGCACTCAGCAATATTCGAGCTATGTGACAGCGGTCTGCAAATAATCGAGTCTGGACCAGACAATCCAGTGATTGATGAGCATCGATCCACGCGATTTGGATAGGATGACATGCATCAACCAAGTCAGCGAGCCTGACCACCCAATCCCGTGAGTCGCCTCTTACGACAAGCATAGTCACCTTTTACGGCAAGCATGGGTTGCTGAAGACCTATTCTACCCCGGATCTTCACGGGTTCCTGTACTATTCTTCTTTACATTTGCTAAGTGCGGCGTTAAACAACAAACAACAACATGACTTGGCTGAGCTAGGGTAGCTCCGATTTGAAATTACCGAATGAAATGGACCATATACGCACACAATGGCATGGCAGCAGTTTTTTATGGCCCCTGCAGAATCCTAGACTCACTCACTCACTCACTCACTCACTCACTCACTCACCCACCCACCCACCCACCCACCCACTCACTCACTCACTCACTCACTCACTCACTCACTCACTCACTCACTCACTCACTCATCTGAGACATCCACTTCGGGTTTACTTCTCATCGTAATCTTTGAAAAAAAAAATTGGCAATTCTGGAAAAAAGTATATTGTCATTAGACTATAAAGTAAGTTGTTATCTGGA